GGCAAGCAAAATCCAACAATCCCCAAAGGGGACATCAGCCTACTCAGAGGCAAAAGAACTACAATTAAAAGATTTCACTTCTAATGAAGCATCCGCCTACTCAGAGATATCATCCAAATCAACAAATCCCCCAGTGGATTCTTGTCTCCTTAAGAGGCATTCATCAAGAATCCTCGACAAACAGAGTCAGATGGCTACGAAAAAGGCCAAAAACATTTTCGAAACGAAAACCACTCCCCATAGGAGTCGGCGCATGAGCTAGAGCAGTAATCCGCCACCCTTTTCTCTATCAAAAGGATCAGCCACCACAGCAAAAAGGGCATCCAGAAGATAGAGTTTCCACACATCGTTCGAAGGATCAGCTCTGTTGTAAAGGAGTATCTGGAAGATGCAATCCGTCGTCATCGCTCTGTTGTAAAAGGGTATCCGTCAGACACAATCCACTTCTCACATCAACCACGGGGTCAGCTACTACTTCAAAAGAGCATCCTGGGGGTTTCTTATTCATCAGCTAAAGGGTCAACTACCGCACCAAAGGAGTATCTTGAAGCTTCACACATATCGTCTGAAGGGTCAACTACCACATCAAGAGGAGCATCCAGAGGAAAACCAGGAAAGAGGGTTAACTCCTTCACCCGTCAATCGATCTTACGGTACATTAGCCCATAGTCATTTGGTCGGGTGAAGGGAGGTAGTTGTAGACCACAAATCTTGCCCCGCTTCTCAATAAAGCCAGAAAACCTCCATTCAAAGATGGAGAAGGCTTCTTTAGGCCCCTAGGCATGTTTACTAGCCTCCATGAAAGGATAGGAGGGCTTTTTGTACAGAGAAAATAAGAAAAAATAGGAAAATTTGTCAGGAGACACGAGACGATTGTCCCGTTTGGTGAGACAATCGTCTCACTTTCCCTAGGTGACGAGATGGTCGTCTCATTTGGCCAGACAACCGTCTCACCTCCATAAGGGTCGAGATGGTCGTCTCGTTTGTCCAGACGGTCGTCTCACCACTCAAGGAAGGTGAGACGGCCGTCTCGATATCCCAGACGGTGAGACGACCATCTCGCCTGATAGAGGTCCAGACAACCGTCTCGGCCTATCTGGCACGATTTCCTATAAATAGGACCTCTCCCCCCCCCCCCTCATTACACACACAATTCACATAGTTCTCATCCCTTCTCTTACCCTAGAAGCTCTCTTAAGACTTTGGGATAACTGTGAACACTTTCCAGAGTTCGAGTAAGCCTTCCGATTTTCGTTTAAAGTAGAAATTGGTTAAGGAGGTCTCCTTTTGAGACATCCGACACTCGGTAGAAGGGTAGTTTATTTTGTTGCAGGAGAGGAGCGTGTTTGTAGAGTGCGAAGACAGCCAAAAAACTTCCTCAAGTTTTGAAGAGTTAATATAAAAGCTCGCTTCGGAGGTTCCTTTCCTTATTCTCTCTCTTTTAATGCTTTCCTTTATCGCTTGCCTTGTATGCATTAGATATTAGGTCCATGTAGACATTTAAATTCTGCAAGTAGATAAATAAATAGGATAAAAGCATAGGTTTTAGCCTTTATTTTATAAACTAGTCCATCATAGGGAACCCGAAAGGGGCGTTGTAGGATGCTAACACCTTCCCCACGTGTAACTAACTCCCTTATCCAACTCTGGTTGTAATGGCCAAAGTTGGTTTTCTAAAACCAACACCCTTTATTTTCCTTTTTTGATCTTTACAGTAAAAACATCGGTGGCGACTCCATCGAACATTTTCAAAAAACTTGCCTTTAGGTCCAGCCCGATTATCAGACAACCTAAAAGCATTGAACATCTTCTTTAAAAAACGCAAGTCAATCAAAACCATCGCGTAGCTCCGACCGCCTCTTTTGACGACAACGACACTTGGCAACATGGTCATTCTTCCCGCAGTTATAGCATTCAATATTGTTTGTGTTTATTTGGTCACCCCGAGCCTGACCTCGACCACGCCATTTCTGTTGGCCGACTTTCTCATTTCTTCGTCATCCTCTTCCTCTACCACCTTGGCCTCTGCCTTTTCCTCAGCCTCTGGTACTCTGAGCATAGAGCACCTTCTCCCCTTTTATTGTCGCCTTTGCCTGGAGAGTCTGTTCAAGGGACTCCCCATTCTTGTTTTTCCTTCTCTACTCATGTGTTTCTAGGAACCCGACAAGCTCTTCAAGGGTGAGCATTGATAGGCCATTGGACTCCTCTATTGCGCACACGATATTCTCAAAATCATTCGTCAATGACCTCAAAATATTTTCAACAACTCGGTTTGATGAAAGACTCTCACCATTCCGATTCAGCTTGTTCACCATGGTCTTCACCCGAGTAATGAACTCAGATACGCTTTCAGACTCTTCCATCTTTATGTTTTCCAGCTCGCCTCTAACGGTTTGAAGTCGAACTTGCTTCACTCGTTCATCTCCTTTATTTGCTTTTTTTAGTGTATCTCATGCTACTTTGGAAGATTTTGCGTTGGCTATCTTCTCAAAGTCAAATTCGTCAACGACTCGGTATAGTAGATATAGAGCTACCTTGTCTTTAGCTTGAACGACCTTTAACGCGCTCAACTGGGCATTTGAATACCCATCTGTGCTTGCCGGTTCCTCATACCCAGTCTCAATCATATCCCAGTTATTTTGGAAGCCGAGAAGGGCCTTCATTTGTACCTTCCAATTGTCATAGTTGGCATCTTTCGTCAACTTCGGTAGCAGGATGCAATTGGTTAGACCTGTCATTTCTCTCAAGTGTTTGCACTCAACTCACACATCTCACAAAGCTCTCGGTCGCTCCTCTCTCTTTCTCATCTAGTTAGGCATGACAACGGGGCGGGGCGGGGGCGGGTTTTGCCTCCCCGATCCCCGCCCCCGACTTTTTTAATCATCCCCATCCCCGTCCCCGATCCCCGCCGGGGTTAGAAATTAAGTCTCCATCCCCGTCCCCGTTGGGTTTCGGGTTCCCGCCACGCCCGCCCCGTCCCCGATCTATATTATTTTTAAAAAGATAATTATATTTATAATAAAATAATTTTACTATCTTTTTTTTATATATAAATAAATATTTATAATTTTATAATTTATAATTATTATTAATTGAATATACATTTTAATTTATTATATTTATATTAAAATATGTATGTAAAAGAAATATTTAATCATTTTTTATTTATAACATTATTATTATTATTATTATTATTATTATTATTATTATTATTAGTATTATTATTATTATTATAATACTATATTCAAATATTTGAATACTTATAATATATTATTATAATATTATATTCAAACATTTGATTATATATATAAGTTAATTCATTTTTAAGTTGTCATTTAAAAATATGAAATATTTAGTTTATAAGGAAATATTTAATAAGTTAATTATTATTCAATTAATTCAAAGTAATAAAAGTTTAAATTATCAATTCCTTTAATCCTTTAAAATACAATTATTTTATTAAGATAAAATTTGATATATGATAAATAAGAATAATAAGATAAAAAAATGACATAATAAAACCTAATAAATATAAATTATAAATAAAATAATATTAGTTACTACTAAGATTTATGTAAAATATTTAGAAAAAGATAAAGAATAAAAAAATTAACTTTGTGTTCATCAAATTGATTGAAAAGATTGAAAAAAAAATTGATGGGAGATATTAAAGAAATGTGAAAAACTAGAAGGTAAAAGAGAGAATAATGTAATAAATTAATTGATATAAAAGATTAAAAAAGACAAAAAAAGTAAAAAATAGGTAGAAGAAAAATAAAAATTGGTGAAATATAAAAAAATGACTTTATATGTAATAGAAAAAGAAAATAAAATATTTTTAAAATATTAATATTTTAAAATTTAAATTTAAATTTAAAGTCGGGGCAGGGACGGGGCGGGTGGGGATTGCATTACCCATCCCGGTCCCCACTCCCGACTTTTTAAAGAGGGGAAAACCCGAACCTGCCCCCGGTCAACTCGGGGTTTCCCCGTCAAACTTGGGACGGGAACGGGTCGGTCCCCACGGGGACGGGTTTAATTGTCATCCCTACAGCCAGTGCACACCACAACATTCTCTCTCGAGGCTTGGTAGGTTCTCTCACGCTCACCTCACATGCACAAACTCTGATGCTAATTTGTTGGTAACAAGTAGACAAAAAGTAAAAGTTGACAGCATTCTGTTTTCTTTTAATCTCTCAATATTTCTCATACTACGATTTCAAATAAGTTGTTACAAATATTTATGGACAAAATGTTTGTCTCTTCAAATGCCAAAAGTAAATCATAATATCTATTAAATATGTTTGCAACCCATATTCCTTGATTATGTCACTCATGCCTAAAACTATTAATACTATTCTAGGAATACCAAACCACTAATTTAAGTTTTACAACAATGACATTCATACTTAAGTTAGGTGCACGTGATGCAATAAATATTGTTACTATTGGAATATGTGCAATAACTCTTAACCTTATCCTTTTGCATTACTTTGAATTAACCTCTTAATTACTTTGGCTTGATCCTCTATCTACATAATACTTGGCTATCATGCATACAAATGGAAAATGAAAGTTGATTAGGAATTTGAATTATGAAGTTTTCCTTGTCCTACAGGTTTTAATTCATGTTCAAGATAATTTCACCCATATGGCCTTTGGAAGATGAGGGTATTGGTAAACCATGTTGAACTCACTCCTTAATCCTCAATGTTTAGATGAACTCTCCTTAAATCCTTTATGGGATGGAATTTATGCCGCCGGAATTGGATAAAGAATTAATTAATATAGATCAGGGAAGAATTTTAATTAGGAAAAAGTTGCCAATTCAAATAATAATCTGCAAAATGATTTTAGTTCCACCTTCGATAATGACATGACTTGTGATTTATTTTTATCTTTTATGAACTACTGAAAAACAGTACATAATTGATGGAATTGTTCTATTCATTTACAAACTACCTCTTAACTATATTTACAAGATTCTTGGTGAGCCATAGTCAGCTCTTAACTCTTCAGCTGATGCATATGACAAGCATGGCATGGATCAGAGCAAGGAACTTGTATGCTTCTTGAATACTTCAATGAAGTGAAATTTCTCACACTACATATTGAAAAGAAGCTCTTAACTGGGGTGGTAATGCTCTTTCACATTGGTATATTCACCTGTTCGTGTGGGGCTAAGGCTGCTAACATAAAAAAGTATGAACTAGACAAAGGGGCGATTAGTTTTATAATCATAAAATAGAAAACAGAATAACCAAAAAAATTTGTCAGTAAACATAGATCAAATTGTCATGGAAGTAAGATATTTGAGCTGATTAATAGCTGATTAATATCGTAAGTAATGTGGTTTTCTCTCATCCAGATTCTTACCCTTGAGAAAGATTCCTTTATGAATCTTCCAGCATTCAGAAAATGGAGACTTTTGCTGCTACACTGCTGAAATTTTGCTGGCTTTTTGCTTCATCTTCTTCCCTATTCACATATTACAAGCCCCTAACGTCAAATATTGAAATGGAACTAAGCACCATGTTTTGCTTGCTTGCTTGCTCCTTTTCTCTTCATTATTCTATTCAAGTAACTGCTCTAATTTCCCCTGCAAACGCCAGGATCAGCTTCTCCCTCCTAATTCCATAAGTCGACTTTACATAGGAGAAACCTTTCAAATGTATTCTCGAAACCCAAACATGTTCTTTGTCACAAAAAAATAGAAGATAACATGTCAAATCTTTTGGCTAGGTACATAGCAATGAATATGCAAGTGAACACCAATGAACTACTAGCAACTTCACAAGTAAAGAACAATGGAATTGCATGTGTATGTTTGCAAGAGAAAAACCCTTTTATTTGTTTGGCAAAGAAGATTGTTTGGGCGTTGGAAACACATTTGAAAGATTTTTCTAATGTAAGACCAACCAATGCAACCAAGAGGGAATAACCATTCCTAGTGTTAAGAAGTGAAGGAAGGGAGCAATGACTTTGAAGAGAACCATGAAGGGAAAAGAAACACACATACAAAACATGGTGCTGAATTCCATGTCCACATTAAGAGAATGGCCTGTGATAGGTGATTAGAAAAGAAGAAGAAGTAGTGTGAAAAAACCAATTTGCACACTTGAGATATATAGGTGTGCAATGAGAGTGAAATAGGGGAAACAGAGTGAAGGGTGTCAATTACAGCTCAATTTCCACACACGGAATCTCCCTCCAGCTCATAACACAATCATATGTGTATGTGGTCTAATTTACTTCTATCTACAATTTATGACTTTATTTCAGAGTGGCCAGTGTACTAACCACAAGCATGCTCACAAACAACTGTCTCACCAGGACGCAATGGTCCAAGACTTGAACTTCATTCAATAATTACCATTTCAATCAGACAAATAGTCAACATTGGCTCCTCCACTTGATGTACTTTTTTTTTTAAGGACTTTGGTTCGGAAGTTATTATAAATGCAAAATATTTTGCACAATAAGAATATATAGTTCTGACATATTTAAAAACCCATTTAATACTGTCACGATATATATATCGTTAAAAATAGAAAAAAATGTACTCTCAATTTAACAAAAATAATTTTAAAATTTAAAACCTAATTCTCTCGTGTAAGAAACAAGCACTTAATAGGTCAAGTTCATTAATACCAAAAAAAGGTGAAAAGTAAGTTTGTAAAATAACAAAAAAAATGAATATAAAATATATAATAAAATATTGTATATAAAAACACTGTAATCATTTAAACAATATATATATACATTTGCGGTGGAAAAGAATGGTTAAGCTCCATTTACATTAATCTCGATGAATATAAATTAAATTTCTATTAATTCCTCCATTAATCTCATGCTTATGTATATTAACTATGATTTATTTTTCTAATGCCCTTATTTATAATTTCCTTTATGTTGTTCTTTATTTTGTTATGTTCTTGTTTTAATTTTAATTTCTTTCTATTATTTATTTGATGTTATATTTAATTGTTACTTAAATACACACACACACACACACACACATATATATATATATATATATATATATATATATATATATATATGGAAATATTTGTCAAATTGTGTAAAATAAAATAATATAGTTAAGTATATATTTTTTTTAATTTGATGTATATAAAAAACAATTTTTTCACTAATAAATGTTTTAATAATAAAGAAAAAATTTAGTATGATATGGGATTATAGTTTTATCCGAACTTCTACAGCAGAATAATATAAATAGCATAAGTGAATGGAAAACTTTAAGTATGTAGTTGCAACGTAATAATATCTTCAGTATCAATAGGTTTTTTTTTTAAATATAAAAAAAATGTTCATAATATTATCAAAAATAATATATTTTGAATTGGCATTTAAAAAGATGAGTTAAGAATTTCAAAATATTAGTAAAGAAAAAACACTAATTCAATACTCTACATATACAAACACATTTGTGTAACGTATAGTTTTCGTGTATCAAAGTGTGAACTTTCTACCAAAAAAGTTTATTATGAATTAAGTATTCTATTATCCAATAATAATTCTATCTACAGTGAATAGTATCACTATTATTTTTAATCATTATATCTATTGTCAAAATTGATTAATAAGTGATCATTTGCTACTGAATTAATACTGTTATATGAGTGTATTTTTTGATACTTTAAACGACGATAAGGCTATAGTTCAGGTAAAGACTGTATTATGAATGTTATGATGTTCTATAATTCTAATAATCTTAGATATCTCAATAAAAAATAAATTAAATAATAAAATATAATTATTTAAATATATCGAATAAATATAAAAGAAAAATATGAGCTAAATTTTTGTCAGTGTTGTTTGTCCAATAACGAATTTTCTTGACAACGGAGGAATTATTTTAGAATTTTGTAATTTTTATAAATATATTTATAATTTTAGTCAATTAAACATATTTATTTATATATTTATAACTTTTTTTCTATTTTTTACATTTTTTCATATTTATTTATTATTTATTAATATATGCTGATGTACTTATTGGTGTCTTTAGTTATTTTGATTTTGATTTCGAACCATCACGCTTGATATGTAATTGTGTTGTATGATGCAAAAGTGACTAAAAGCGAAGAGAATGTATTATATTTATGGAGTTTCAAATCATCGTGAGTCATGTACCTTAAATAAAATTGTGGAAGTTAGGACTCATATGTAAGTATTATTTCATAATAATTGTGGGAGAAAATATGTGATTCCCTTAATTTATGGATGCAGTTTTTGCCACCTGGGATGCAGTTTTTGTCCGTTATTATGCTAACATTTTTCACTTGATCCATTTATCTTGTTATCTATCAGAATAACAAATTAAATATATAAATTATGGTGATAAGTTTTCATTTATCCACTCACAATATATAATTTGTTGATTGTTTTTAAAAACGGTTTACAGTTTTTTAGTTTTTAAAAATTAAATCTTGTTTTGACAATTGTTTTGTTAAAACAGATTTTGAAAACTGTTTTTATTTTTTTTTATTTTTTAAAAACTAAAAAAATTAAAAGTGATAAAAAAATTTTTTTTTCATTAATGGTTATCAACATTTTAATTAATGATTACATTAAATTATTTGTTTTGATTATTATAAAGTTATTAAAATCAGTTTCCAAATTTTGTTACAACTTTCTCTGATCATTGGTAATAGCCCAAAATACATTTTATAAATCCAATGTAACAATTTTTTAAATTAAAACCAACTTTTTTTTAAGTTGGACTTTATATAGTTTGACTATAAATGTTTTATATCCTAGTCTTCCTCACACCATGAGGCATATTTTTTATTTTATTTTTATGATGATGATACATTAATTTTTTTAGGCATTTTTCAATCATGATGAATAATAGTAATATCATCATTGTAACTCATTAGTAGTTCTTGATATTTTTCTATAATTAAATTGTAATATTTGGACATGTGATTGAGACTATATGTTTTTATTTTTAATTGAAATGAAATTCGTGGTTTTTTTTATGTTAACTACTATAATGCATGAATGTCTTCATTTGAAAGTGGATGAGATTACACCTGGAAGAGTTGGGTATGGTAACATTACTAAGAGTACTTGAAGAAGATAAAGAAGAAGAAGGGGTGTCTAAAGATGAGAAAAAGAAAATGGCTAAGGATGTTAACAGGGAGAAACAAGAGACTATTGTGTGTACTCGATTCCAGTCCTTGAGAAACCATACTAGATTTAGTTCGAAATCATGCAAGATCTTTTTCCGTCTCTAGTTTCTCTTCAAAGGTTAGATAGATGGGTTCAAAATAGTGTAAAATCTAGAGGTAAAATTTTATGTCAATTATGGTATCGTCTGACGTAAATTTACGTCAGTTGATTTCTCTAACATAAATTTATATCTCTCATATTAACATTAAAGTTCAGTCAAATGTAAAAAGTTCAAAATAACATATGTAAAAAGTCTCTAGTATACTAGTGATTTTCTTCTCATAGGGAATTATATACATACATTTAAACCATAAAAAAAATCCTATCAACTTCAAGTGTACTCCTATTGAAGTCAAATACCTTCATAACTTGTACCTTGTAAATATACGATCATCATAGTTTTAAGCAACACATAAGACATACAAAGCCAATGATTTAAATAAACATATCTCAAATTTGAATTCGTATACACTAGTGCAGAATAGGGTTTTTACGTCACCCAATTATCATCGCATGCATGTATATTTGACGTAAATAAAACGCGGTGACAATTTTGTAAATATGGGACAAAAATTTTACGTCGCACATCCCAGCATGCGACGTAAAAAGCCTTAGCTTTTTACGTCGCGCCCCCCAGTACGCGACGTAAAAAGTCTATTTTATTTCCCTCCAGACCCACTTCCTCGTCTCGCGCAACCAGGGTTTTTGAGAACGACGACGAGAACGACGACAACAGCTACCTCTGCACACCATTTTCGAGCAGTTTTACAGTGAAAAACATCTACATTATCGTGTCATTTGACGAACTTGATCTTTCTACCCGATTGGAATCGAGTTTGAAATCAGTTTTCGTCTACACTCGAGGTTAGTGTTCTATGTCCCGTGATTGTTTTTGGGGATCTCAATCACGTTATAGTATGAATGTCTCCACTGCATTGTTATTGGAATGTAATTATTTGTTTATTTGTTTGAGTGCATTCGGTTTACACACTCCATTGTTGTTGGAACGTGATTTGTTGTTTGTATATTAATTTTTTTTACATATAATTTTTAAATCTTTAGGAGTGACGAAACTTTATAACATAATATGAATCGAAGTTGGATGAATGCACGTCGTATTAGTGAAGAATACGAAAAAGGAGTTGAGGAATTTTTGAAATTTGCTAGTGAGAATGGAAAAGCTATGAAAGGGACATATGATTGTCCATGTGTTCGTTGTTTGAATCAAATTCGTCATAAACTTGAGGATATACGTGATCACTTGTTTGTTTATGGTATTATTAAGAGTTATACAATATGGACATGGCATGGAGAAATATTAGACATCCCAACCGTGTCAACTACGTACAATTTTGATGAAGGGATGGATGATAATCTAGAGGATATGATACGTGATATTGGTGAAGAAAATTTTATGAAAGCACATCTATATGATTCTTTGAAATCTGATTTTGCGCAACAATTGTACATAGGATGTAGTTTTACAAGATTATCAGCAACTTTAAAATTGTTTACTTTAAAAGCAAGAAATGGATGGACCGATAAAAGTTTCACCGAATTATTGGAGTTGTTGAAGGAGATGCTTCCCGAAGATAATACATTACCTATTCGTAACTATGAGGCAAAGAAGATATTATGTCCAATGGGTTTAGAGTACAAGAAAATACATGCATGTCCTAATGATTGTATATTGTACAGTAAAGGATTTTGCTAAATTAAAGATGTGTCCGACATGTGGTTTGTCGAGGTTCAAAAACAAAGTTGAGGAAAGTAGTGGTGAGGAAGAAGTAGATGGTCCCCCGCTAAGGTGTTATGGTATTTGCCAATTATACCTAGGTTTAAAAGATTATTTGCCATAAAAGAAGATGCAAGAAACTTGACATGGCATGCAAATGGTAGAAAATGTGACAATCTTCTTCGACATCCAAACTGATTCTCCACAATGGAAAAGGATTGATGAAACCTTTCCAGAATTTGGTGCAGAGCCAAGAAACTTGAGAATTGGATTAGCTACAGATGGGATGAATCCTTATGGAAATTTAAGTAGTAAACATAGTTCATGGCCAGTTATGTTGATCATTTACAATTTGCCTCCTTGGTTATGCATGAAGAGAAAATATATGATGTTATCTATGATGATTTCAGGACCTCGACAACCAGGAAATGACATAGATGTATATCTTAGTCCTTTAATTGATGATTTGAAAATGTTGTGGGAAACAGGAGTGGATGTATTTGATTCATATCACGAAGTGAATTTCAGTGTTGCGTGCAATGTTATTTTGTACTATAAATGATTTTCCAAAGATATGGTAATTTGAGCGGTTATAGTGTGAAAGGTCATTTAGCGTGTCCTATATGTCAAGAAGACACAAGTTATATCCAATTGAAACATGGACAAAAAACTGCGTACAATAGGCATAGAAAGTTTCTAGTTGCTAATCATCCATATCGTAAAATGAAAAAAGCATTTAATGGATGTCGGAGAATGCAGCTGCATCAGCACTCACGCAATGGTGAACAAGTATATGAACAAGTGAAAAATATTAATATTGTGTTTGGAAAGACCCAAAAGAAATCCACTGAGAAAAACATTTGGAAGAAACAATCTATATTCTTCAATCTTCCTTATTGGTGTAAGTTGGAAGTTAGACACCGTATAGATGTGATGCATGTTGAAAAAAATGTTTGTGATAGTATAATTGGGACATTGCTTAACATAAAAGGAAAGACAAAAGATGGAATAAAAGCAAGACAAGATTTGGCGTACATGGGTATACGTTCGAATTACATCCACAATCAGCTTGGAAAACGCACTTACTTACCTCCAGCCTTGTCATACTCTATCAAAGAAAGAAAAGAGAAGCTTTTGTGAGTGTTTACGTGAGGTCAAAGTGCCACAAGGATACTCCTCAAATGTTAAGAGTCTTGTGTCTATGCAAGAGTTGAAATTAGTTGGTTTAAAGTCTCATGATTGTCATGTGTTGATGCAACAACTTTTACCAGCTGGCTATTCGAAACATCTTACCAACTTCGTTAGAATTGCTATTACTCTGCTATGTTTGTTTTTCAACGCCATTTGTAAAAAGGTAATTGATCCAAAAAAGTTAGATGAATTAGAAAATGAAGCAATTGTGATAGTGTGCCGCTTAGAAATGTATTTTCCCCTTCATTTTTTGATATCATGGTGCATTTGATAGTCCATTTGGTAAGGGAAATTCGATTATGTGGTCCAATTTTTCTTAGATGGATGTATCCCGTTGAGAGATACATGAAGATCTTAAAAGGATATGTGAAGAATCAAGACAGCCGTAAGCTTCTATTGTGGAAAGGTACATTGCAGTAAGAAGCCATTGAGTTTTGTCAAGGATACATGTCAAAATCGAACCAATAGGTATTCCTAAGATGAGACATGATGGAAGATGTGAAGGTAAGGGTACTCGAAATTTGAAGATTAAAAATGTTAGTCTGAAAGAAGTTGACCAAGCACATTTATACATATTGAACAACACCGATGAAGTAATCCCTTACATATCACAACACATAACCGAAATAAAGGCAACACATCCACGAATGAATGAAAAATGGGTATTGAATGAACATAACAAAAGTTTCCTTTCTTGGTTTAAAAAAAGGGTATATGTTGAGATTAATGCTTCGTAAACACTTCGAGACTTGCTCGTGGGCCTAATAGTGATGTCATTACATTTGGTGGGTATGACATTAATAACTATTGTTTCTACTCAAAAATAGAAGATGATAAAGGTAGAGTACAAAATAGTGGGGTCACAATTCAAGCCGAATCTATGCATTTTTCTAGTTCTAAAGACAAAAATCCTATCACAACTTCTATGAGTTATTTTGGGGTCATACAAGAGATATGGGAAATTGATTATGTTACTTTTAGGGTGCCTCGTCTTCAAGTGTAAATGGGTTGAAGGGAATACGGTGTGCGAACAGATGACCTAGGATTTACTTTGGTTGATTTGAGTAAAGTTGGGTATAAGGATGAACCTTTTATTTTGGCATATCAAGCGAGACAAATATTTTATGTCAAGGATCCATGTAATGAGAGATGGTCAATTGTCCTAGAAGGAAGAAACATGCACTGAATTCATGAAGATGAGTCTCTAGATATACATGAAACACCTTCATTTTCAAGTAGACCATTTGATGACATAGTTGACAATGAAGTTGATGACATACATGCAATTCAAGTGATCATGATGAAGGGATATGGGAAAACATACCAACATAATAGGTGTTTATCTTAACATTTTCTAGTTCTTTTTATTCAAACTTATAAAGTATGTTGACTTAATATTGTTTTGTTTTTCGAGATATGTCTGATTCCACAACTGGTACTCGGTAGTGGTAAGTGGCAAGTAGGTGGAGCTGAAGTGGTGATAAAGGTAGATCTGTCACTCTGCTAAAGGGGTTGACAAAGAAGGAGGGTAGCTAGAGAGAAAACTCAAGTTGAAGTTGATCCACGTTCGGTAAGGCATCCGGCCCAAATGCCGCTAAGTTTAAGAGCTATTTGGGACTACTAGCTCGACACCATGTTCCGATTACTACTCCATCTTGGGATGATGTTGAGGAAACCGAGAAGAACCTCATGTGGCAGGATGTTCGTGTATTTCTATATTTGTTGAATACTTTATATATCATTATTAATTGAATTTAACATTTATTGGTCATTTCACAAAGAAATTTTGATGTTCCTAACACCGAGGTGATGAGGAAGAAGATTTTATCCTCCATTGCCATTAGATGGAGGGACTTTAAGACTTTCTTGACACTGGAGTATGTATTTGGAAAGTTTCGAGATGAATCTCCCCGTGTAAAGTATCAAATTAGTGAGGAGGATTGGTTACGCTTTGTGCCACCCGAATGGACCCCTCTTGGCAGATAAAAGACAAGCCGCCCAACAACGTCGAGGTTGAATGATGCACCCCATGTATTGTCACGAGGAGGGTATGCATTATTG